TTTTTTTTTTTTTTTAAATTAGTAAGGGTAAATTGGTCTTTTGTGGGTGCGGTATAATGAATTTGGGTGCGGTAATTAACGATTCAATTTTAAAAACTCTCTCAAAACCTACTATTACAGATGCTCTTAGGGCAAAAGTTACACTCTCTCTCATCCACATCCATTAATTTTTTTCTCATCCATTCAATCAAAAGTTACACTCTCTCATCCACATCATCTCCACATCATTTTTTCACTAATTCTCTTTCCATTTAAACACACACCCACATCCCTACACATTTATTTAAATACAAATATGAGATCCATTATATCCATTCATTCAATATACATTTTAATATTTTATTCTCAATAAAAATAAAATATAATATTTTTAAATTATAATAATAAATTTTAAATGCATGAAAATAAAAGAACACTACAAGACCAAAATAACTTAAATTATTTTACGCAAATGAGCAGTTGTTAAATTTTTTGGTTCAAGAGAATTATAAAATTGAGGTGTATTTATGAGTATAAAAAGAATGAAGATATAAAAAATGTAAAATATTGATACATATTTTTTTTTTTTCCAAAACGAAAGGGATATTATAGCTATAACAAACGAACCAAGTTCGAATACAAGCGAGACCAGGCCGAAAATGGCCAAACAATGAAAAGAAAAATGGGAGGACACGCACGCAGGCAGCCTAAAGACACAACCAACTGAACGAGACTAAGCATGAGCAGACCAGACCCTTAGCCTCCAACACCAATCTGCAATCCGACACACAAGAAAAAAAAACCCAGCTACTGTCTAAGGACCTAGCCAAGATAGAAAAACCACACACCACCAGCAAACTCTAACTACAAACAAGCCCCAACTAAAAAAACAACCACCTGAACTACCACAAGAAAGAGAAAGAAAAAAAGCAAGACCAAAATGAAAACAAAGACACTAAGACAGCAAAAAGAGAACCCCAGCCACTGGTCTTCTGAGAGGAAAATCAGCTAACCTATCTGGCCTTCACCGAAAATTCAGACCACTCCCCAACTGTTTTTTAACCACCAAGTGCTCAGGGATCATTACCTTTTTGAATATCCACATATTGCGAGTTTTCCACAACCACCAAAGTAGATACGTGGAAAGTTGTATTCTATCTTCATTAATAGCACATTTACCTGTTTCACATATGTGATTCCACCAGTCTCTGAAAGTACAATTTTCAGTGTTAATCCCATCCCATTTTGTTGGACTCAGCTTCCAAATCTTCTCAGCTCGAGGGCACTGGAAACACAAATGCTCCACAGTTTCTATTCCTCCTCCACAAGATGGGCATATGCAATCCACCTTCATCCCTCTCTTTTTAAGATTCAAATTAACAGAAAGGGTACCATTGCAGCACTTCCATATAAAGTGCCTCAGTTTCCCTTTTACTTTCAATTTCCACAATCTGTTCCTAGCCACCTGGTCATGAGAGTCTTTAATGCTGCTCTCAGGTATATCCATCTTTTGAATTTTCTGCTCCATAAGATGAGCATATGAAGAAGCCACTGAGAAATTTCCTTTCTTGTTCAACCTCCATCTCCATTTGTCATCAAGGTTTGGGTTTAAAGATTGAATCTTCAAAATGGCTGAACTGTCCAGCTCCCCAAAAACTTGTTTGATCAGCCATTCATTCCAGTTGGCCCCATCATTATTCATCAGATCTTTTACCCACACCAGATGCCCTCTTGCTATCTCTAGCAGCTCAGGTTTTTGATTTATTAATGATGGGATCCAGTTAATATCATCTATTTTGGTTTGCTTGCCACTTTTAATCTCCACTTGAATTCCTTTGGCAAATAAGGGAATAACTGACTGCCAACTTCTCCACACCCAAGAGGAATTGTTCTTAACTTCAGCTTCCATAAGTGAGGAATTTGGGAAATATTTGCATTTTAGCACTTTGCTTACCAGCAATTCTGGATGAGATGTGATTCTCCAAAGCTGTTTACATATCAAGGGTTCGTTGAAAAGTTGTATGTCCTGAAATCCTAAGCCCCCTTTGCTTTTTGGCCTCGAGAGAAAATCTCACTTCTTCCAGTGGATACTTCTTTGCCCTTCGTCCCCAAATCCCCACCAAAATTCAGCACAGATCTTCGATATGGCTTTACAAATTGTCACAGGGAGCTTAAAACATGCCATAGCATATACTGGAAGTGCGTTTATAACTGCTTTAATCAGGACTTCCTTTCCGGCCACAGACAGCCATTTATTCTTCCATCCTGACATCCTCGCTTTCACTTTATCTAGAACAAATTTAAAAGTGTCAACCTTTGATTTTCCAATTCCTAACGGGAGCCCCAAATACCTGGTTGATGAATGTTTGGTAATGCCCTGGAAAATTGCACAAATCTGCAGCTGCAAATGCTCCGGAGTGTTTCGGCTAAAGAAAATGGCCGATTTGTCTAGATTCACCCTCTGCCCCGTAAATAGCCTGTATCTCTCGAGAATCTCAGTTAGCTTGAAAGCTTGTTCGGGAACTGCTTTGCCAAACACCAAAGAGTCGTCCGCAAATAATAAGTGAGATATGGCAGGACCATCTTTGCTAATTCTAAGTCCTGAATATTGCTCTCTAACCACAGCTTCAGAAATTAACCTCGAGAGAACTTCTGACACAATTAAGAAAAGAAACGGGGATAAAGGATCGCCTTGCCGCAGTCCCCTCGAGGGCTTGACTTGACCTTGAACCGAACCATTTATGTTAAATGAGAAGGAAGTTGAGCAAATGAAAGCCATGATTAGGTTTACAAATTTCATACTGAAGCCCATCTTGATCATAATCCTCTAGATGCAATGCCACTCGACGCGATCATATGCCTTCATCATATCGAGTTTGAGCGCCATAAAAAAATTCTTCCCCGAGACATGTCTGTTAAGGAAGTGGAAGACTTCATTTGCAATGATCACGTTGTCCATAATCTGTCGCCCTTGAATAAAAGCAGTCTGGCTTTCATTGATACTGTCGCCCAAGCAAGATTTAAGTCTCGATGCGATTATTTTGGACAAGATTTTATAGAACACGCTGCATAGACTAATAGGCCGATAATGACTGAGCATCTCTGGAGACTCGATTTTAGGAATCAGCGTAACCACTGTTTGGTTCCAGTATTGTAGCAGGTACCCCGAAAGAAAAAAGCTTTGCACTGCCTTGACCAAATCGCTTTTAATCAAGTCCCAAAATTTCTGATAGAAAAGAGCCGTCATGCCGTCTTCGCTAGGCGCTTTTTCCGGATTCATCGCAAACAGGGCCTCTTTGATTTCCTCTTCCTCCACCATTCGATCTAGATCTCTGTTCATCTCGTCATTTATGGAGACGGTGATGAGTTGAGTTATGCTATCTGCCCCTGTGACTCCTTCGGAAGAAAACAGGTTGTTATAGAACTCCGCCACATGGTTCAAAATCTCCTTTGGTGACTGCAACACCCGATTATTAGAATCCACTAGCCTGGTAATCGCATTGACCCTTCTGCGCTGCGCAGTGATTGCGTGGAAAAATCTTGTATTCCTGTCTCCCTCCCTTAACCACATATTCCTCGATTTTTGTTGCCAGAATACTTCCTCCTGCTCATGTGCATCGTTTAATTCCTTTCTCAACCTCTCTTTTGCCTCCCACTGATCCCAGCCCTGCTTCAGCTTTATCTCTTCTAGTTCCTTGTTCAGCTCTGATATTTTCTGTTGGTTTTGGGTTTTGAACTTAGAACTCCACTTCAGAAGGGACACCCTGGTACTTTTTACTTTCTCTTTAACTATGAACATAGGTGTTCCTGAAAAATTTTCTTTCCACACTTTCTCCACCATTTCTTTAATTCCTTCCCTTTTGAGCCACCGTTTATCAAACTGGAATCTCTTGCCCCTCTTAATGGCTTTACCAACTGTATCCACTATGAGCAGCATATGATCAGATGCACTTTTTTCCTCTGTCCAAGAGAAAACCCTGGGATTAGCCATCAACCAGTCAAAAGATCCAAATACCCTGTCAAGTTTGGCCTCCACCCACTCTTCTGCTCTCCTATTGTTGGTCCAGGTGAATTGGTACCCCTCCATCCTCACCTCCTCCATACCCATATCATATATAAATTCATTGAAACTCTCACAGCTACCCAAACTCCTCTCAATGCCTCCTCTCTTCTCCTCTGGTTTGCAAATAGCATTCCAATCTCCCATAATGAACCATCTACTGCCCCATTTCAATTTGTCCATCTGAAGCACTTTCCATTGATTCTCCCTGATTTCCTTATTTACATTCATATATACAAAAACCCCCCAACATCTCTGCCCTTCTTCATCAATAAACTCCACCTGAAAACAAAACTCCCTGCTCACCACATTAATCACCTCTAAACCTTTCTCCCATAACAGTAACAGCCCTCCCCTCAATCCCATTGGTTCAACAATAGCACAGTGATCTTGGAAACCCAATTTCTTGGCCACAGCCTTAACAAAATGTTTATTGTTTTTTGTTTCAGAAAAAAATAAAAAGCTTGGGTGGTGAGTCCTGATAGACTCTCGGATTTGGGAAACTATAGAGGGCCCACCCAGCCCTCTACAATTCCACGCCCCAGCCTTCATTTATCACTCGGGTGCCACTCAAGGCTGGCAACCTCCACCTCAATATCATTGGACTTCAGCTTCTTCCTCTCCTGTGAATCTTCCTCTTGATCACTTTTCTCTTCCATAGCTTCACAAAGTTCAGTCTTGTTATCTTGATATACTTCCAGTGCCAATCTATTTCTCTTGCCACTTACTGGAATAAAATTCTGAGTATTGGGAGGGTCGAGTCTCTGCAGTCTCCTCTCTCGATTGGCTGGTCTTCTCCACGTTTTAGATATGTGCTTCTGAACTCCTGAACATCCAGCTATAGCTCTATTGAAATTCCCAGACTCGAGCTCCACCTCTATATTCCTGTTGATGCAGTCTTCCTCACAAACAATCCTCTTTAGTGGATTTAAGGCAATGGAATTATCTGGATCATCTGGTGTTGTGGTGATGATAGGTCCAGCAACATGATTGGTCCTATCGCTGGGATTCGCCGCAAGATTTTCTTTCGCTACAATTATCTGGTTATTGTCTTCAACATGACTAGTGGATGTGGGCAGAGGGTTGCTTTGAGTCCCAACATGGGGGGGATCTGTTTGGGGTGTGCTTCTTGAGCTGGAGTTGCCAAAAGATGCCCAGCTATTAAACTCAGGGGCTCGCATCCAGTCGCCGAACTGGCCTTCTTTAAGGAGATTATTATTGATATCTTGCTGCCTAATCAAGCATCGTCTCTCCAAGTGCCCAATATGGCCACAGTAGTGGCAATGGTTAACTAAACTCTCGTATTTGAAACCTCCTTTTACTTCCCTGTTATCCAGCCTAATGTTAGCACATCTCGGCAAGGCCTCCGTTAAATCCACTGTAACCAATAGCCTCATAATTCGCCCTCCATGACTGCCTGCTCCGACTACCACAACATTGTTTACTTTTTTGAAAACCCTTCCAATCTTCATCCCCACCTCCGTGCACAACCAATTCAACGGGATATTGAAAACTTGAACCCAGATTTTGAGCTCTGAGAAAACTGGATGATTTATAGAAAGACCCTCCTGCCATTCTGCCAAAATTAGGTATTGATTATCAAATATCCAATTTGTACCTTTGGCCACTCGCAGCAGGTCCTCACGCTTAAGGAATATGAACTGGAAGAAATTAGGACCCAGCTCCTTTACTTCCATGGATTGTTGAATGCGCCATATATTACTCATAGACTGTTTAATGCCGGCCCAGCTTGCATGTCTGTCGCCAATAATTTTACCAAACAGACTTCGATTGCACTCCTCATCGCCAATCTTGATATCACCTCTAGCAATGTCTATGAAATTGTGCTCTCGATCTGATAGTGACACTTCCTCCAATTTCTTGGCTAGCTCGTCGTCTTGCCCAATGCATTGGGAAGATTCCATCTCTCGCACCCCAAAAACCCTAGCCCCCTCTCTCAGCGAAAAAAGGAAATCAAAGCCAAAGCGAAGCACTTTTAACGAATCTTAGAAGGTTAAATCCGAGAAATGGTAGAAACCAGCAGCGATCCAAGGAGTACGCTCTCCACGAGAGAATTGGTACGCTCTCCACGAGAGAATCTTTTAAATATTTTGATTTGACTTTTGATACATATTGGAAAGTGTGATATTGATAAAATTTAAATTTATCAATATTGTGAGGTGTGTTATAAATAAAAAATAAGTTAATATAAAAAATGAAAATAATATAAATAAAAAATTAGAGTAAAATGCATTTTTCGTCCTGTATGTTTACCCCTCCAAACATTTTAGTCCTCTTCGAATTGTGTTTTTGATTTTCGTCCCGTATGTTTGAAAAAAAGGTTACAAAAAGATCTTTTTCAATACATAAGGGATGAAATTGGAACACATTATTGGAAAACATAAAGGACCTTTTTATTGCGAAAATGATCTTTCTGTAACCTTTTTTCAAACATACGGGACGAAAATAGAAAAAACAATTCGAAGAAGACTAAAATGTTTAGAGGGGTAAACAACATGACGAAAAATGTATTTTACTCAAAAAATTAATATAAAACAAAAAGAAAAAAATATAGCCGCAGATAAACCACACCTGCCGTTTAAATGGGGCAAATAAACGCCTCAATGTGGATGCTCTTAGTCATACACAAAATTGTCATAAAAATATTATTTAGTGACAAAAGTTAATTATGTTAAACATTTTTTTTAAAAAAAAAAATAAAGCATTTTATTTAAGGAATCATAACAAATTTTAATTCAAGGCAAAGAAAGTCATCAAAAATTAGAATTTCTTGTAATGAAACAATTGCGTAATGAAATAAGCCTCAAAATTTTAATCAAACATGATCGATAAAATTCTGATAAATTTTGGATGGATTATGGATTAAAACGAATCAATTCATAATCTATCAACATTAATTATCTATCGTTTCGTTTAAAATGTAAATAATTGAAACAATATTCGGGGATATTTTGAATCAATTGTGGTTAGGAGACTGAGGCAGTTAGATAGGGTTGTAAAACAATAATTTCCGTTTGTTAAATATATAATATTCTATAATTAATGTGCAATAAAACTAAAAAAAATTATATATAATTGATCGAAAATTCAAAATATGTGAGCGAATAATGAATTTCACGTAAATAATGTAGTAGTGGTTGATTTTATTTTTAATTATACTAGTAAATTAAGAAGAGAAATGTAAAATTTGATGAATTGTAGAATTTTTTGGAAAAAAATCATATCCTATCTATTAATATATAATAGCAATAGGGATTTAACTTAAATAGAATGTAAATTCCCGCTTAAAATTTTCAGAGGTTCTAGTTTAAGTATTTTTATAGTAAAATGACGGCTACTTTCAAAATTCGAATTGAAATTTAAAAAATTTGTTATTTGAGAAATATATTGTCCTTAATTTACTTCCTAAAAAACATGGTCAATTATTTCTTTAAACTAGAGATCTGATTTTAAGTAAATTTTGACATATATTAAAATCACCTTTATATCCAATTAGACATCAAATTTGAGATCCTATTTTAAGTAATTTTTTGCAATATATTCAAAATTACTTCATATCCACTTAGACATTCTTTTTATTATACATAAAATTTACTTGTGAAACTCTAAACCAATAATTGCATATAATAATATGTATCAATAATCCAATCTCCTTAGAGTTCTTTAAATTAACTTGACAATTGTACATAGTTTAATAATCCAATCTCCTTACAATAACAACATATTTAAACAAACACACGATTTATTTTAGAAAATTAAATTCAATATATACAAACACACGACTTCAAAAAATTAATATATTTTTTAAAGTATTGAATCAGTTGTTGATGGTAGGATTCGATCAACGGTTAAATAAAGATATAGTGATTTAAGAATAAGGATCAAGAGAGATGCACTAGAAGCTTTTTATATTAATCACGAGGTCAGCCTTTGATATCAAGGTCGACACTTTGGTTATACTTAAGAACATTCATAGGAAATTGTTACAGATGGGGAACAGTAAATGTAGAGAGAGAACTAGTTGGTGTAACATTAAACAACCCACAATAAATGAAATGAGTTGCCTATTTATAGTATCCCTGGTTGGGCACTGTTCAGGTACTGTTCACCCTATCCCATCGCATCGTAACTTGAAGACGACAGGTCGGCGCTGCTCTGACAAACATTAAATGTGATTTAAGGTTCTTCCAGTGATTACCTGTCAGACATTATATTAACACATGTGGAGCATTTAATGCTGACAGACCTTCCTGTCGGGCTAGAATCCCTAAGATGGTAGGCTAGGGTGGCGCGTCCCATCAGTAATCATTAGTCGCCAAGTGGCAATATTTTATTATATCTTGGTCTTGTCTTCATATAAAAGCCAGCCTTGCGGAATTTTCAGGTCGTACTTTAATCATTACTTTCTTCTCATGGTCTCTGGGATCTTATTTTTCTGTTCGGCGTCGACGAAGGTCGGCCTTGTCACCCGACCTCTCCAGATGCTGATCTCAAGGGTTGTGTTATTCGTCATCCTCTTTGTAAGTTTTGAAGATTGGCAGTGAATGGACGAACCTTCATATGTCCCCATATTCAGACGACTCGAGAATAATTAAGGGAAGTTTACTTATATTCTTGGTTTAATATTAGTCATTGAAAGTGACTAATGCGCGATTTATTTATGCAGGAATAACTGAATATCCATCATATGCGCTTTCCTTGTGGAGAAGATTTAGTCCCTGACTTGGACCTTCAAAAAGAAGAGTCGGCTGAATCAATCAAGGACTTACCATATGCGAACGTAACTTGCAAAGTTTTGAGTATGACTTAGCTTATGGGAACCAAGATAAAAGGATGGCGATACACTTGAAGGAGAGAACCTTTTCATCTTTGATTTGATGAGCATATAGTTTTAGAGACGAGAAGATATACTTTCGTAGTTTGAGTTTTTTTATTGTTATTTGAGTGAAAAATCATCACTGGGATTATATTGCAAGGGTTAGATTCAAAGTGATCGGAGGTTCATTCTGTTTAGTTTGAGGGAATCAAACGTGAAAAACCACAAGGAATTTGTGGTCGGATAAGTAGTGGTGTGGATAATTGTTCAAGTAGAGTGTAGAGGAGTATGTATTGTAAACCCTTGAATAATGTTGTTGATGTCCACATTAATGAAAGAGATCCGAAAGGAGAGTGGGACGCTCTCCTGAAGGTTCAATTTTGAGTATTACTGCTTCCGCAATTATTTGAACTTTCTCAGTGTACTTACTTACTAGTTAAGCAATATACAAGTTGTTTTCGTATAAGAATATACAACTTCAGTCTTCAACTTTGTTTCCTGATGAGATCGACATTTCGTATTTACCGGAACACCGATTCGGGTTTTGAGGTCGTCTTCCCCTGGTCACTTATCTTTGAACAATAAATTTTACGTCGGCCCAACTCGGGTATCAACATCAGTCATGAAACTTTAATATATTGTCGAATATTAGTCAAATTTATTTTTTTAATCTAAATTTGTGATTAATATTTAAATTTGTTATTTACTCTAATACTAGTACAAAGCCCGTGCGATGCACGGGGTGAACAATTTTAAGGTCATTTATCCAGCCTCATAATTATATAAATGGATAATGAAAAATGTACGGGATATATATAGTGCGTGACTTGTGTGAGGCACGAGATATATTTATTTGGGGATTATTATACTATAAGATGCAATATTTAAATAAAAGTTTTACAATACATGAAAATAAATATAAATAATGTAAATATCTAAATACATACACGATATGCAGAATAAATAAGTCAAATTGTAAATCTAAAAAAATAATTTAAAAAAAAAAATTGAAAATATATATCACTAAACATGTACAAAAATATCTAAATACATACACGAAAATAAAAAAAAATATACATTTCAAATTTCGAGATATGATTTGTATGTGCTGCCCCAGTCTTGGAAAAAACATTCTCACAATTTGAACTTTGAGCATAGGTCTATTAGACCTATTGACTTGTTTGATTAACCCAATGTTCTTGATTCATTGTTTTGAATAAAAGACTAATTGTGGATATTTTTTGTTCGCAGGGGGTTGACAGTGAGGAAGATGATGACTCGATATTTTGAGATTTGTAATTTATAATGGGTAGAGTAGATATATATTGTTTTTAATATTTTTATTAGAAAATCTGAATCTGAATATACAGAAATCGGTTTGAACAAAATCAGAATAGATTTTCATATAATTAGATAATAAATTAGATAATAAATAAAGCCTTTTTTATTTTAGTAAAGATTTTACGTACTTTTTTTTTACTTATCGGATGTTATTGTGTTTATTTTTTGTTAAGTTGATTTTATGCGATATAATACAAATACAATTAGAGGATTGAACAAAATCAGAACAGATTTTCATACAATTAGATAATAAGAACGAATTAGATAAGGAATTTTGAATCTGCTTTTTTTTTAGTATAGATAGACTTTACGTACAAATTTTGACTTCACCGATTTAATGGGATTTGTTTTGACAAAATCGATATTAATATGGTATAAGACAAATAAATAAAGTTTTTTTTTTTTATTTTAGTAAAGATTTTACGTCATTTTTTTTTTTTTTTAACTTATCAGATCAGATGTTATGAGATTTTTTTCTTAAATTGATTTTATGGGATATAAGACAAATATAAAATAATTAAATAAAATTTTGGATAGAAATAGCAATGCATTAATTACGTTGACTTTTCAACCTACTAAATTTGTTAAATAAGATACCTTATTATATAAGTATAGATTTTCAGAAATACCATTCCCGTGCTAAAAAAAAGGATAATCTACCAATTTTCTAATAGAAAAAATATATTATAATATCGTTCGGATTTTTAAAAATATCAATTGTATTTTCAATTATACAATTGCACAGAAAAAAGCGCCATTTATATTC